TATTGGATACATAAACTGGATTTGAATGCGGGGTCAACTAATGAACTCACTCTCTAGTGGGGTCTCTCTCTGTAGTCCCGTCTTTTCGTGGCTCTTTCATTGACATACGAATTTGTAGGTCCTCCCCTAGTGGTTCTGTAATGTTTGGCTCAAGAGTCTGGCCTGGCTGGTCTTTTAAAAGCACCCCATGCTGTCGAAACCACTCCTGCATGTGAGAGGCCCGATGCTTTGAGTCGCTGCTCTGCTGACAGACAAAGCCAGGTCGTGTGGCAGCCATGTCTACGGATACATAACATCTTCTAGAATCTAAGTCTATACTACGTATTCCTTAGTTCTCAAAGTCTAAGAAGAGCGCTCGCTGTGAAGTGGGTGGGAGTAGAATGTGATTGACTAAGCCTGAAACGAAGGTTGATACAGGTTTCTAAGGTCATCTGGAATGACAAAAACATATTACTGATGCATGACAGCAAGGATACTAGTAATGTACGGCACCACGAGAGGGAACGTTTTGATCCAAAGAATCAGCTGCCAATTGTGAAACTTGGCGGAGGCTTGATAAGGTTGCCTTGGAAAAAAGTGGGACCACGCTACACGACTGAGGTAGCGATGAAGGCAGACGTTTGCTGTCATGTTTTGGAAGGTGTCATGTATCCGTAGGCGTGGCTGCCGCCCGACCTGACTTTGTCTGTCGGCAGAGCAGCGACTCAAAGCATCGGGCCTCTCACATGCAGGAGTGGTTTCGACAGCATGGGGTGCTTTTAAAAGACCAGCCAGGCCAGACTCTTGAGCCAAACATTACAGAACCACTAGGGGAGGACCTACAAATTCGTATGTCAATGAAAGAGCCACGAAAAGACGGGACTACAGAGAGAGACCCCACTAGAGAGTGAGTTCATTAGTTGACCCGCATTCAAATCCAGTTTATGTATCCAATACTTTAGAGAGTTCTGGGCAATGTGCTAGACTTGCTTAATGTTAGTGACTGTTTACTTGACTGTTCTGTTGGGTTATACATTATTTAAATCAAATAAACGGATCAAGTGATCTTTCACCTGCCTTCATTAATTTCGAAAAATCTAAAATTTTCTAAACCCAAATTTGAGCTGAAGGTTGAAATTTTCTGTGTGGATCATAAAACACGTAGTTAATAATTGTTGCAAATTTGGAGACGTTCCAGTGACTTTCAAAAGAGAAATCATGAAAAAACCGTTTGTTCATAAATTTCTGGCCACTACTGTATACGTCTCACACTAAGTATAACAACCGGTCAGAAAGGAGTATACCTAGCTAAAGCTTGCATTACGTCCCGCCGACACCCTCCTTCCATTCGCTTCAGTTCAGAATATCTCCTAACATACATTTTATACATTTTCTTCACTCTTTTCGTTATCGAAATTGTCACATATTCGAGCGAACAGCAACACTGGATCACGAGACTATGCAAAAATGTTCCTTATTATAGATAGTGCTCACTATGTCCGACCGACGTTTCGATGGGTGCCACTGCCGATGACCAAGGCCAAGGACCAACCGACAAACACAGTGATCCAGGTATCGGGGTGCGCTCCGTTTTGCAACCTCCCGGTCATACCTTGACCGATCATGACTCTGAATCCATGGATGTCGATTCCCTTCTCAGAACACCAGAGTCACGTTCCAGCACCAACGACCCAGAAGAGGCTCATCATTGTTGACGGAATCCCCTGGTAACGTGAGGAGCGTTCTCTAATCCCTTCCCCGATGGACACCACAGAGAACGATTTCACGGCACTTGTTTCGAGTACTCAACAAGCACCACCACCGATTAGCTCAGCATTTACCTTCATCGCAGCTCCTCCGTTTTATAGACCGTGTTCTCCTCCAAAATGGGTCAAAGCCAGTGCAGCTTCTTCAAGACGCTTACATCGCTTGCGTTTCTTTAGCGTTGCCTCTGCTATGCAACCCCTACGAGGAGCCACCTTTTCCGGCTGCGGTGCCCGTGGCACCCGCACTCTCCCAACCGCCATACCCGTCGCGTCTCTACCGACACAGACGGTTCGGGGTCGTCATTGCACTAAGCGGACCTTTCCGAAACACGAAGCATACTGGCTTCCAAAATACATAGAGAACGAAATGCTTGGAAAGCTAACCTTTTAAGTGGTCCACTGTCCGAGGATACACCCACCACCTCGCCCAGCTTCAGGCCATGGGCTATTTTGGTTCGTCCACGTCGTAATAGATACTTGGGCATTACGAATGACTGCGTCACCAGTGAGCTGCCTCTCGACAAATACCGCCCGATTCCTCCAGCCGGCTATCAGGCCACCCGCTGGGTCCGGTCGCTGTTCCCGAAATTACATGCGCGACACCCCGCGTCCTTCTAACAAGGTGCCGGCGATGGAGCTCCAAACCCTGGAGGCCGCGATTCGATTTCGAGCAGAGTCCCTCGCAATAATTCCAATAATTCGCAGCACGTGGGACGGCAATTATCAGGAACCCGTTCGAGAGAGTCAACAAACTCCCCTTAAGTCATACTCGTCCACACTGGCTCCTCCTCCTGGCGGTCCCTTCCATCCAGTACTTTACCAGGTTGTTGCAGTAGGTTATGGCAATGGTGTGATTTTAGAGGCCAAAGATTTCTTTATTGTCGGCCTGGATAGACGAGACTTGCATTGTATTGTTCTGGAGCAATACGCTATCGATGTGACTACGAATATGCGAGGCTTCGATAGATCATTGATATCAGTTCAGGATTTGGTGTGGATCTATTCCGTCACTCCCACACGAGCAGCCCTTCAAGATCCGGCATCCATCTTGGAACGCTCTCGTATCCCCAGGGCTACTGCAATGGAATCCTCAGCGGTCTATTTTTTCCGTGCAGATCGTTTCGCTTTCGTAACACCCCATGTGCTTTACAAGACTAGCCTTGGAATGGTTGTCCATCTAGCAACCCGAGCGGGCCGCGTTACCAGTTTCTTGCCGTCTTTGAAGGCGCTCCAGAAGCAGCCGTTGTCACCCCGTCTCTGTGTGATGCTGACCTCGGGCCGGTCTACAAGTACTCCATTATTCTCGCCGAAACCCGGGTCACTACATCTTACGCGATGCGATTTTCTGAACCACCTGTCTCACAAAGCGCACAAGACGAGCTATGTCAACTGGTTCGCCAATTCCTCCCCCTCAATGCGAGCGAAGGAGTCCTTCCTCTCCGGGTTAATGAACCTCCGTTCAAAGGACAAGGAATGGTTAACGGACCGTACCAATAGTTTCCGCAACTACACCACGGATACCGCAACAGCCAAACGTCAAATGGATCGACTCGATCAACACTCGCTGTCATAACCACCATGTTTGACGATACCGCGGTTCATTGGGTTACATTCACTCAGCCACAAGGCAGGATGTGCCCAGTGCGTCTCGACTTCATACTCGAAGATATGGCACAGGAAGCTGGCTGGAGCAAAGGTCGCCTCCCGGATTTCTGGATTCCCGGAGCGGATCACACGATGAAAATGCACGTCGAATCCGTTTTTATCAACGTGGAGAGCAAACCGTTGTTATTACGAATTTGCGGTTTTACTTGGAATCATAGAGGCCTGATTCAACTCTTAGAGAAACACGTACGGCTCCTCCACGACCAGCGGATCATTGATGGTCACGCCCGTTTGGCCAAACCCACAAAGTCAGCCAGCCCAGCCAATGAGGCTATTTCCAGGATGCTGCACATTGTCACCCGTGTGGAACCAGGAACAGTGGGCCACCTCACCCTAGACCTCGTTCATCAGCACCCAACGACATCGTTGCCTACAACATCCCAAACCTCCAATCAGGGGCTCATCGGTGACTTTTCCGGATACCTTCCGGCTCAGACAACAGTGCATTTCCCTAACACCCGATCAGCGCATCTCGCTAGAGCTCGGGATGGCCAACCACCCGATAGCGGAAATACAAGCCGCCTTCGGCACTGGGAAAACTATTCTGTTTGCTATTATCGCAGGACTCTTCGTCCAGCAGCACAGAGGACTCCTGATAGTTACGGCGACAACGAACAACGCCGTGGCTCATTTTAAGAACACGATACTGGCCATGGAGAACTTTCAGCGAATTCGACTTTTGCGCTACATCTCCGAGTCGGCCTTCCTAGATGAATCTTCTTCGACCACCGTTGACATCCATGAAATCTTGAAATCCCTCGGAGAAGACTTTGACAATAAGCTACGGCCGAAAGAACGCGAATGGTGTTCTCGTTTCCGAAGGGGAAGAATACTCTACGAACGATATGCCAAAGATCCGGCACGCTCGATGGAGATGACAGAGGCCGAAATCGACGTGTACATATTGGCTGAAAAGGATGTATCAGCACACAGCATCGCTTCTTACGGTCACACCACAGCTACGCTACACCACGGCGAAAGGCGAAATCTTCAAAAATCATTTGGAGAACCGAAAGATTATCACTGTTGACGAAGCATCTCAAGTGCCCGAACCCATCCTGGCTTGTTTCACCACAATGTTCGCTGAGGCACGTCAGCTCTATTTCGGGGATATTCACCAAATGCGACACCATGTGAGATGCCCAACTAACGCGAACCCGGCACTCTTTGGTGGTCAAAGCATAATGTCAGTGCTCGTACGATCTCCCGCAGTCCCAAAGTCGGCTTTAGTGACCCATCCTGCCCTTAACGAGTTGCCTAACCTTCTCTCATATAGTGGCTCCCTGATAGGCGGAGTGACAACAGATGAGCGTCGCCTGCTTTTGGACCGCGTAAATTTTCCGAACTTTAACCTTCCGTTTGCCCTGATCGATGTCGAGGGAAGTTCTGTGTAGGCCCCAACTCGCTCCCATCTCAATGACGAGGAGGCCAGCAGTTGCCTGACATTAATGGACCAGCTCCTGCAGAGCGGGCTTCTTCCCAACCAAATGTGCGTGGTAACCTTCTACCGTGAGCAGTTCCAAGTGCTACTTGACTTCGCCAGGAACGAAACATCGAAATCGCAACGGTGGATTCAATTCAAGGCCGTGACACGGAAGTGGTCATTTTACTGACAACTCGCACGGACCTAAAACCTGAGACTGCGGGCTTCATTGACGATCTACCTTCGTCTCAACGTGGCAGTCACCCGTTGCCGACATGGGCAATTTATACTGGGCCATGTCCCCACTCTGCGATCCCTACCCCACTGGGGAAAGCTCGTAAGTTGGGCTGAACAAGCAGGTGCCGTCCTCCCCTCCGCCCAGCTGAAGGAACCTATTCCATACCCACTTCTTCTTCTTCTCCCTAGCGTTAGTCCCGCGCCGTCGCAGGGTCCGCTGTTCTTATCAGTCGTCGCCACTTCGCTCTGTCCAGGGCATCCCCTGCAGTGGCCATGATTTCGCTTAGGTCCTTCTTGACTACGTCCTTCCACCTCTTCTTTGGGGCTCCTCGCGGTCGCTTGCCTTGCGCTTCGAAGTCCATTGCATTCCTTATTGGGTGGCCTTGTGGTCTTCTTAGCACATGCCCATACCACCGCAGTCGCTGCTCCCTCACCTTCAGCTGGACAGGGGCAGTCTGCATGACCGCTCTGACATCCTCGTTCCTGACCCTGTCCAGTCAGGCCCATCTCAGCATCCTCATCTCAGCGGAGTGAAGCTGCCTTTCGTGATTCTTGTTCAGGGGCCAGCACTCGCTGCCGTATAGCATCGCAGGCCTTACCACTGTCCGGTACACCTTCCCTTTGAGCGTTCTGGAGCACCTTCGATCGCAGAGGATTCCAGTGGACTCCCTCCATTTCATCCATGCCGCGTTGATCCGTGCCTTCACTGCCTGATCCACACTGCCGTCGGCTGCCAGATCGCTCCCAAGGTATCGGAAGTCCTCCACTCTTTCGATGGTTTCACCATGGCCGTCCACGATCGGCTCTGCACCCTCTTCGGAGCTCAGGAACTTGGTCTTCTTGACATTCAGCCGGAGCCCACCTTCTGCCAGGACTTCTGCCATTTCTGCACCTTGGCCTGTAGTTCCTCTCTGCTATCCGCTATCAGGGCGATGTCGTCAGCGTAGAGGATGGTCCACTTCCATAAACTAAATCAAAACAGGCAATTCTCTCTTATGCCATACATCACGCAATCTTACGAAGAAATTTCACTTACTGTGATATCAATACAAAAGCCAAACACGCCGCTTTTCGATCAAAGATTCGCCATCTCAGAGAAAGAAGCGTTAATAATACCCAATAATTTTGATCTACCTGTACAATGCCCGACGGCAATCATGGCAGCGAGAAAGCTTCTTTAATTGTAGCAATCAAATGCTATGCAATTGCCGAAGCTACAAAACACCACATACTTGCCATTGTCCAAAACACTCAATAAAAGACATTCGTGCAGAAATAGAAAATAGACTGCCTATTATCACGCCATCAATAGAATTTAGCTTCGAAGATATGCAGATTTATGCTCACTCAACAAAGAGCGAGGTTACACTCGCGATAAGATCGAACGTACTAATCAATAGCGCGGAGTTCATAATTGAACAAAAATGCTCCGTTGAATTAAGTGCTGTGACTGGATGCTATAACTGCCAAGAAGGTGCAGA